TTAGTTGTAATTTTTTATTTTCTCTTTGGAGTAGCAAGAAGAGCAGCGAGTTTGTTAAACTAGACCACATTATTGCGGGGTTAGCGATCTGGAAGGTTTCATTAGATCTGTTCCGTTCTATGTCTCATCCTATTGTAGTCATCCTATTGTAGCCATATGATATTCATTCTCTTGTATCTTTGCCATCTTTTGATAATAAATTAGTTATTTGATTTTCGAAAAAAAAAAGAACAGAGACTAAGAAGGGAGAGGGTGATAATGAAGATAGCGAGTTTGTGTGGTAGGGGGAGCAGCCTTGAAAACAGGTGATGTAAATCCTGCTGGATTTGTCCTCTAGGAACCAATAGTAACAAGTTTGACTGTGATCAGATCCGACGTATCTATTTAGGATTTTTGGGACTTCGGAAGATAATTATGGGAGCATAAGTCGCTGAATTATCAAAGAAAACGTTGCTGGCAGATCCTCTTGGCTGGGTATTGAACGCAACATGCGGCTGACAGTAAAGCATCACTCATACCCTTTTTTTTTTGACTTTTTCAATAATGGAGATTCTCTACCGTTTCACGGAGGCTTTGAACTGTGTGCCGGGCAAGAATAGTTGGGTCCAAATTTTAAATTTTAGTCCCGTTTTTAGATTTTTTATAGTCCACACCTCGCTCGAATTTTCCACCTCCTTTAACATGTTTTGTCGTCATCCAACATGTTTTTTTTAAGGCAAAGGGTGAATAGGGGTGCCAAATCCCTTCATAAAAAAAGTTATACTACTTCCGTCCCTTATTTATCTTCATAGTTCGGTTTACGATGCTTGACTGACGATAAAGCAACTCGATCTCTGTTCACACTCGGATTATTTTCAGTAAATAAAATTTACATATTCAGAAACTACATTAAAACTGCTATAAAGCCTGATCAAGAAAATTTAAGTTTGATAAAAATTTGATATATAAAGTAAAAGATTAAGAGTAATTTGAGTTGACCATTTGAATAGTAACTATGAAGATAATTTTGGGACGGAGGGAGTAACACTTTTCATAAAAAGGAGATTTTCTTTTTTGTTGCCTTTTTCCCTTCGGCTTTCTTTAAGGCAAAGGGTGAATAGGGGTGCCAAATCCCTTCATCTTAGGTGCCATGTGCTCAGTTAGGGGTGTTCATTCGGTAATATCGAACCGAACCGAACCGAAATTTCAGTTATGCATTTTCACATACCGAATACCGAACCAAACTAAATCGTTTTGGTTCGGAAAATCCGGTTCGGTAATTGGTAAAACTGAATTACCAATTAGGCATTAAACAAATACTAATTATTTATAAATAAATTTTTAAATATGTTATATATAATACGTAGTATATAAATACTATGTATACCGAGTATTATGTATAAATATACGTTTTCAAAAATAATAATAATATATAAATGGGATAAGGGTCAGATAGGGCCTCGAACTCGAAAAAAAATGTCAAATAAGGTCATATTTAGGATGCTCTGTCCGGCCGACGCCATTTGGGGCGGTTCTAGATGCCATTTTTTGATGAATTTTTTTAGCATCTTCCTCATTAAGTCTAGTTTAACCATACCAAATTTCAGCTAAAAATTCAACCGAGAAGGTAGTCAAATAATTTTTTGAAGATAATTGTGAAGTTAAACAACCCCGTACATTTCGGAAAATCATTTGACTACCTTCCCGGTTGCATTTTTAGATGAAATTTGGTATGAGTAAACTAGACTTAATGAGGAAGATGCTCAAAAAATTTCATCAAAAAATTCCATCGGGAACCACCCCAAATGGCGTCGGCCGGACAGAGCATCCTAAATATGACCTTATTTGACATTTTTTTTTGAGTTCGAGGCCCTATCTGACCCTTATCCCTATATAAATATATATTCATAACGAAATATGGGGAAAACAATGAGAGAATCTCCCACTTCTCTGTAGCTTCCCGGCGCATGGGATTACTTATCCGGCAACATCGCCGAAATCCCCAACATCCAAACTATGATACTCACCTATTCCAATCATTACCGGTGCAACCAAGACATCGAAGAACCAATTCACTGGTTCCTTTACGACCCTAAATTCAACAGAGAACTAGACGTGAGGCATCCCCAAATCGAATGGTTGCAATCGTCCTTGTGGCTATTCCCCAAGACTCACCACCGACTTCGACGCCTGGGACTCACAACAACCACCTAACTCTCTTTCACATTACTCGCGTCCACAGCGCAGGCTCAGACAACGGAAAGACGGTTCACAAGTGTCTGGACTCTACACGACGAAGCCCAATACCAATCAGGTATTTCCTCCGATGGGTCGTCAGTACTCTACTCCGAGCCGGAGGCTACTTCACGAACAACAACGCATCAACCCTTTTCCATCCTTGTCGTCAGCAGAGTACCCAGAAGATTCCTGGTGCATAGTCCACCACGGGCGACGTCGCTCCAACCACCAACGCATCCTGTGAAATTTAAAGGTCAGCAACCACAATTTGGTTAAGCACTACCGTTTTCAACCCCAATTTATGGAAGGCGATTCTCACATGCGAAGCATAGCCGTCCCCCACACCGGAAAATTTGGTTGAGATACTGGCGGAGAAGAGCACTGCGGGTACTCAGGGTCAAGGGGGAAGACCAGCATTCATCGGAGGAGAAGAGATGCCGGTCACAGTACCTTCGCAGGGGCCCTCAATAATTAACCAGCCAGGCAACCAGTCATGGTGACTAATTCAACTGGCGCTGTACGAAGACTCACATGAGCTGAAATTGTGAGTTGGGATGCTAACACTTGTGGAGCCCAAGGCAGCACATCTTCTACAATCCTGAAGCCATCCTCAAAAATAAAAGAAATTACAGCTAACAAAGATACAACATTTACGCCAGATGATTCTTACAAGGATTGTGAAAATTTTCAATTTTTTGGAGAGTAGGGTTTTGACTCCATCAAAATTGAATCCAAAGTGTTCAGATTGGCTGCAAGAGAAGATGAAATTGAAATTTTTGAGATACAAAAATCCTCACTTAGAATGATTAATTTCAAATCAGATTACGCTCCACGGATCTACCACTCTATATTACAAATCACATGCTCAGACAGAGCAGAAAAATCAGGTCTATCACTATCTCTACTCAGAACAACAAACTCGGCTCTAATATGAAGAGTTCTAAAGAAAATGGGACCTCCATTTTAGTTCCCACGGGCCCATCCAATTCTAATCTCAATGAGTTTTTAACATTATTTTCTAATTTTGTTAAATTATCATCTGAGCAGGAGGAAGTCATGAAATGGAAGTATGGCACTTCAGGTGACTCTGAAGAAATCACCATTTCCAAACTCATTTTTAATCATGAAGTTCAGAGAGCCTTCGGCGAGAAGCAACAGTTGATCTTATCTGACAAACAACCACAAATTCCTCTCCTCCAGGGCTTACTCTGATGTCTCCGACAATTTTGATCAGCCTGATGACTCTTTCTTCTCAGACGATTTCCTAGGACATGCGACCGAAAGTGATCGTCGACCCCCATTATCAAACTAGGACATTAGAAAATCCAAATTTAATAGAACGATCTGCCGAAAAGGAAAGCTGTAAATTTACAGAAAGCCTGCAAGTTTACGATCCTCCGAAAACTGCTTGCCAACTGAAAAACTGAACACACAACTCAAAATCTAGAGAAAATCTCATAAGAATAAGAGGCGTCATAGTATGAGGACCAGATCACATTCCACAGAATTTCCTTGGATCTAGTTTTATTATTATTTGTATTTTCTTTTACTTTCCGTTCCGTTCTTTTTTCTTTTATTTCTCTTTTTGCATTGTAATTTTATTTTACTTTATGAATAAAATCGTTTTTCTTAAAAAAAATACATAACGAAATATATATATGTATATAAATAAAAAAATATACCAAAGCATGGCGACACGAGGTTTGCAATGGTTTATGGTTGCGATGCGAGAGTTGTAGGGCATGGCGACGAAGATGATGACTGCAAGCAGTGATTGAGGCTCACGTGTGGGACGAGGAGATTTGCATGGGTTTCGTATAGGCCATCTTTTGATCGAATCAAGTAGTGAGGTACTGAGGTACCAATAGTACGGCCTCCTCCTGAACCACCACCATGGGTTGTGCGAGAGGCTAGAGCCCGTGAAAGTTTTCCAATAAATTTTTATTATTTTGTCACTTGGTTTCTCGTTGTCATCTTTGTTGCTAGAGGTTTGTCAGTTTGTTTGGGAATTTAGCTTGGTTTTATGTCTTTGAGTATGTTTGGATCTATGGGAACATGGATGGCTGTGTCAAGCCCGTTACATGGTTAGCGATTCGTGTTGCTGAGGTGATCGTTTCTAAGTCTGATCATAGGGTTTACAGTCGTAATTGTTGGAGTCTAGTAGTTGGTGTCAGTTTTCTTCTTCCTTTGATTGATGTAATGATCCTGAAACTTATGATATAAAAGACTGAATTTTGATGATAAAAAAACAATAATACTCAAATAAGCAGTTTTTCCTGGACATGCATTAAATGTAATTTAACTACAATCTAAAATAATTCGGGATTTGAATCTTGATACCAGATTTTCTTTTTCAATAATCTCACTAAATAATTTAATAATCTCTTACACGCAATGATAATCTTTAAATAAACTCATGGATGGAGATGTTGTAAGAGAGAAAATTGCTAGCTTTCTAGCAATATGATTGAAAAGGTTATAATTCCTAAAATAGGACTAGTTAGTTTTTTATTCTTGAATTAATGATGTCTTGCATGTATGATGTATGATACATATTTTGATGCTATTTTCTCTCTCTTTAATTTAATCATTATTCATGTAAACGCATACTTAATTTTGTAAGTGAATGTTAGAAATTATAATCCTATAAAGATAAATTTTGGACTTGCTAGTCTCAAGGACTCAACAAATGAAAGTGTAGGGGAACTGAGAAATTTAACAGCCACAACAGTGTCAGAATCCCTTTTAACTGAAACAGGGGTTCTTGTTTCTTGAGTTTGCAGACTGGTAGTAGAAAATCCTCGGAGAAGTCAATGTTAACTTTCACGACATATTCCAATGACACCCACAACACACCAAAAATGCCTCAAACAATAGAAATCCCACTGGATTGCTCACTTGAAAATCCTACGGAAAGCTGCCCTCCAAATTATTACCCATCAAAGCTGCCCACAGAAATCCAAGACTCCCAAACAACACCTCCATCATCATGCCCCGAATATTTCCGTTGGATCTATGACGACTTGTGGGCGTGGAGGGAGACTGGAATAACCAGAGAAATGGTGATGAGGGCCAGGAGAACTGCCAACTTCCGGCTGGTCATAGTGAATGGGATTGCTTACTATCAGAGATACCGCAAGTCATTTCAAAGTAGAGACACTTTTACCTTATGGGGCATTCTACAACTGTTAAGAAGGTATCCTGGAAAAGTGCCCGATTTGGACCTAATGTTTGACAATGTTGATTGGCCCGTCGTCAAGAAGAGACGTTTTCCAGGTCCAAATAACACAGCCCCACCTCCACTGTTCCGATACTGCGGGGACGACACTACTTGGGATATTGTCTTTCCTGATTGGTCCTTCTGGGGATGGTATGCATGCATGTGTCTACCTAGCTTTATATATCTCTTCAGCTGCTAAGAATAAGTTTATCATTAACTCAACTCTAAAAGAACTCTCTTTAGCAAGTGTGAGTTATCTGACACTTGTGAAATGGTTGACGAAAATTCATTTGGAAGGGACTTGAATTATGTTTCAGGCCTGAAATCAATATTAAGCCATGGGAGGTTTTATCAAAGGAGTTGGAGCAAGGGAATAGAAAGATCAGTTGGGTGGAGAGAGAACCATATGCATACTGGAAAGGAAACCCTGAAGTTGCAGAAACCAGAAAGGATTTGCTCAAATGTAACATCTCCGAGAAGCACGATTGGGGTGCTCGTGTGTACGCCCAGGTAAATTGCCCACAAAATTTCTCTAATGCACAGATGCAGTCTATTAAAAATAAATGATAGGCATAACTCATCAACATAGTCTTAAAACATATAATTCATGAAGCACAAAAATAATGTGTGGCATCTGTATTTCTTTGTAGGACTGGATCCAAGAACAAAAACAAGGTTACCAACAGTCCAACCTAGCTGACCAGTGCATTCACCGGTAAACAAAGTCACTACCTCAGTCGGAAAGAAAAAATAATTTTAATTTTTACTACCTAATTACTAGAATATAACTTCAATTTAGAGTACTTGTACTTATTTAATTACATTGCTTTTATGTACATTAATTAATTAACTAATTATGGTTCTGGTTGGGAAAATGACAGATACAAGATTTACATTGAAGGATCAGCATGGTCTGTTAGTGAGAAATACATATTGGCATGTGATTCTGTAACTTTACTAGTAAAACCACATTACTATGATTTCTACACCAGAGGTTTGATGCCATTGAAGCACTACTGGCCAATTAGGGATGATGACAAATGCAGGTCTATTAAGCATGCCGTTGAATGGGGCAATAGTCATTTGCAAAAGGTAAACAAATTTTTACGCACACGAAATATATATGTAATCATCGATTTAAAATCACAAAGACACTAGATCCAATCTCTTTGCAGCATGTTTCATCATTGATCACACCCGTTTTCCTAAATAATGCTATATCTTAACAATCAAGGGCCTAAGTAGACTTGAGGTTTAAGTTCAATAATTATAGGAGTTGTCCAAAGTCTTATGAGTATATGTAGTTTGTTACTTTTTGTTTAACCAGTGTGGAATAAACTCTTCCACCCCAAGCGAGTTTTTGGGTCGATTTTTACAACACATCTCAGGTTTACTCATTTGACATTGATGAAATATAAAAACATCAACCAACATGTAAGGCATTGCCTACTCTTCATGAATGAAGTTTTTCTGCTGAAATTGCATGTTTATTATGTGTATAAAACAGGCACAAGAGATTGGAAAGGAAGGAAGCAAATATGTTCAGGAAGAACTGAAGATGGAATACGTGTATGACTACATGTTCCATCTGTTGAATGAGTATGCGAAGCTCTTGAAGTACAAACCAACAAAGCCTCAAGATGCGGTTGAACTTTGTTCAGAGAGGATGGCTTGCGGAGCGACAGGATTGGAGAAGGAATTCATGTTGGAGTCCCTGGTGAAAGGTGCATCAATCACACCACCCTGCACAATGCCACCTCCCTTTGATCCAGCAAGTCTCCACACTGTTGTGAAATCCAGAGAAAACACAATAAAACAAGTGGAGTCATGGGAAGACCTTTTCTGGCAACATTAAACCCCGGATGACATAAACATGAACCATACGTGATATATAGATACAGAGTATACATATATATACGCATGCTTACTATGAGTTTCTGTTTTTCTAGCTTTATCCCACTGTACATCTAACAATGTCAGATGAATCAACATAACAGTTTTTTCTTATTTAGTTTCAGAGAATGCTAGAGTTGTGAGTCATCATCTATGGCGGCTGTAACATACATTGTGTAAATGGCAGCAAAAAGCCTGCAGGGATACAATCAAAATATGAACTTATCAAAAACTGATCAAACGTGTAGAATTGTTGACGTGCACTTTGTCGTGGTGTGCACTCAAAAATAAATAATAATACAATACAACAATTATACGTAGTATAACGAAGTAAGGTTCGTATCCACAGGGAAAGGAATATTTCTCTTTTTAATTAACTAGTAACAAAAGGGGGGTTTAGGTTTGAGTGATTTAATTTAATTAAATATGAAGATGAACGACTTATATGAGTTTAATAAATTGAGATTAAGACTTGGTTTTGCTTTTATCCACTTAATGAAATGTTCGTCGATCCCGGTTATATCTTTAACTATCTTCCTCTCGAATACTCAATCGAGGAGTATATCCAATTCATCGAGGGTAGTTAAAAATAACGAGACGCGTTCAATTAATAAAATTTTATCAGTCCAAGACCTCAAAGATGAGCGTTCTATCAATTAGGGACCCGAAAGATAAACTCTATCAATTAGGGGCCTATATTATTACATTCTATCAATATAATGCTCGAAATTTTAACACCGTTAACATTCTGGTACCGAAAATGTGATGTGGCACTAGATCCATTAAAAAACGTAAATAAAATTGCCACATCATACGTCCGAATCACCGCTCTTCTATTCCACCTCAACGCAAGTAAAGTTCCTAAATGACGGAGTATCTTCCTTACATTTCAGCCACAGCCAGAAACACCATCGATTCATCTTACCTCACTGACCACACCTCTTCATCTTCAACGCTCAATCACCATAGCTCTGTCTTCCTCGACACCCGCATGTTAGCTCATAGTGAGCAGAGAACCCACCTGGATAAAAGCTTCGTGTGCTGATAAATTTTAACTGCAAAACGGAAAAAGGAGATCGAGTCGGTATGACGACATATACTTTTTAATTAACTTTGTTTTTTTTCAAAGTTAGGTCACGTAGTTGATAAATTAGTTTCAATACGTAAAGTCTCTCAATTGTTTCTTTGAGGGAAAATATGTGCTATATCATCTCTCGGTCATTTGCATCAGAAATGTAGTGCAAGAATCTTTGTAATGGATATGAGATTTCAAATTTCTAGTCCTTGGTGCTATTAAGTAATAAAGAAGATCCAATTTAAGATCCAATTTTATTGAAATTAGTCAAGGTAACCGACTATATTTTCAATATGAGTAAACCAAATTACAGTTAAAAAATTAAATGTTCATTATAAGTGGGCGTCTTTATTAGTGGGATTTGGTGGATTACAACTTCATACAATTTTGTGTGTTCTTTCTTTTTCTTTTTGTGTGTTCCTTCTATTTATTTTTGAAATTAGATTTTTGTATGTTCAACAAAATTTAGTTGTCCTAAACTTTGAATTATATGGATTCTACCTTTCTTACTTTCATTTAGCTTTATCTTGATCTAATGAGATTGGTTTTTACTTTTTAGTAGAGTACTTTGAATTTTTACTAAAGCACATGCATCATTTTTAGTAGTAAAAGCTTTTCCTCTCTTATTTTTTAATGATTAACCAAAAAGAGGATTTAGCAAACAGGTACATAAAAAGCATATATTTATTAGAGAAGTTGTCAAGCTTAGCCGGCTTATACTATTGCTGCATTTGATGGCTAGAGTGTAGCAGAACCAAAGTGCACAGAAGTAAAGAATCACCCAGTACATTTTGTTGGTAGCTATCACGATTCATACTTATAGTTTGGCTTCGCAGAATACTTTTACTTCTTTTTCAAAAAGTGATGATGTGTATGGCAGTGTTTATGTATTAAAATTGATGTTTACCCAACTTCTCTTTTATGGTTACAATTTGTTAAATTTTATGGTAGGTCTGAAGTCTAAGTGAATAGTAGCCGGATCAAGTTTTTATCTTTTGTTCTCCAGTAAGCTTATCAACATATTGTACTATTTTTTTTTAAATGGAAGTATGAATTTGCAGAGATCCTAGCAGTGTTAAATTTTGCTATAGTTCTTATTAATATGGCTTTGTTTTGAAGACATGCTCTGTCTCAGTAAAGTTGATTTGATTAACATCAAATGTATACATGTATGCTTTTCTATCTGTTTTCTTTTGTATTGCTTGGGAGGTTAATCAATATTGTGATTCTTGGTATAAAGCTTTGTACCGGTACACAGCTTGTAAAAAAAATTCACTTTGTTTTGCAGGTTTCCAATCATTCAAAACATTCAATGATGATGAGGCAAGTGAATATGATAGGGACCCGGATGGTCCACTTACTAGAAACAAGTTCTTTGACCAAGTCTATTCTAGAAGAGCTAAAAGGAGTAATAGTTAGTTAGTAGTTAGCCGGTTGTTACTTTTAGCTACCTTCTATTTTTAGAAGGATATAAATAGTAAATCTCCTGCGGAGGGGAGGAGGCTGTAATTCTGACTTGTAGCATGTCCTGGGAAGATCAGAGTTTATCTCTATCTTGTTGCCTAAGTAATAAAATTTGCCTTTGAGTCCTTGAATCGATTCTGTGATCTTGTAGATTAGAATTGCAGGTTCGCATCATTGGTATCAGAGACTCGGTTTTGTGAATGGTTGGAACGCGAAGGAAAATGGAAGGGCGATTGACGGAGATTGAAAGAATTCAGAAAGAATCGGAAACGAAGTATGATAATCTGATCGCGATGATGACGGCAATGCAGGCCGGCTTCGCGGAAATTCAGAATAGGAACGCTGACCGATCGAGGAGTAGATCGCGGCGCTCTACTTCTTCGCGCCGGACGATGCACCATCGGGATGCGAGGAATCCGGAGAGTTCTGAAGGATCGGACCACCATTCCGATCATTCAGCTTCGATTCGAGAACATCACAGGCATCACCGAACTCATCAGGGTGGAAGGAAGGTTGAATTGCCAGTTTTCAAAGGGGAGGATACCGGCGGTTGGCTACTGAGAATGAATCGGTATTTCAGGATGAACAGGACAGCGGAAGAAGACAAGATTGACGTAGCTGTCATCGCCATGGAGGACCAGGCCCTTAGTTGGTTCGAATGGTGGGAAGGACATGCGGTACGTCAAAACTGGGAAACTTTTACTAAAGCATTGACTAAGCGCTTTCAACCTGAATTGATCCAGGATCCTTTGGGATCGTTGTTTAGTCTGAAGCAGAAAGGGACTGTCAAAGAATATAGAGATCAATTTGAGAAATCGATAGCTTCACAGAGACATCTGACTGAGGAAATATTGAGAAGTGTATTCCTGAAAGGGTTAAGAAGGGACGTGAGGGCTGAAGTGAAGCTATGTCAAGCCAGATCTTTAGCAAAAATGATGGATACAGCCATTCTGATTGAAAAGAAAAATCATGAAGTTCTTCTCATGAAGAATAAAGAAGAGGGAAAGAAAAAAGGATTGAGCAAACAGAATATTCAGTTCACAGGCCAGAAATGGAGGGATTCAAATCAGTGGAAAAACTATCCCAATACTTCTGCAAGTGGAGGCAGATCTTCTGATGAAATTAAGACTACGGAGGGAAACAAGAATATGAATTTCAGAAAAGATGGGCCAAGATTGTCTAAGGGAGAACTGTTGGAAAGAAGCAGGAAAGGTTTGTGCTTCAAATGTGGAGAAGAGTGGGGAAAAGGGCATACCTGCAAAATGAAGAACTATAAAATGATACTTGTGGAACACTCTGAGGGTGAATTGGAATCTGAAGAGGAACTTTTGGAGTCTGAAGAAGATACCAACCCTAAATTAGAGTTAAAGACAATGCAGCTTTCTGTTCTGAGTAAGGAAGGGATACCTGCCTTAAACACTTTCAAGGTGAAGGGACATTTACAATGGGCTGAAGGAAAACAAGAGGTCAACATACTCATTGATTGTGGTGCTACCCACAATTTTGTATCACAAAAATTGGTGAATAAGTGCCAGATTCCCTATACGACTATCCAAGGATACAAAGTACAAATAGGCAATGGTGATTGCATTTCTAACAAGGGCAGATGTTCTGAGATGAGATTGAAAGTGCAGGGAATTGATATCCAGCAAACTTTTTACATATTGGAACTGGGAGATACTGAATTGGTGTTAGGGATGGAGTGGTTGGCTGGACTAGGAGACATGGAGGTGAATTTCAAAAACAAGACATTGAAATGGAGCAAAGGAAATCAGGTTTACACTTTGACAGGAGATACAGCTTTAAATCAAATGGAGGTATCTTTTAAAACCATGGTTCACTTATTACAGCAAACTGGAGATGGATTTTTGTTATGTTATGATGGGCAGGTGAATCAGAACAAGTTGTATGATGTCAGAGAGGGATATTGGGATGAAATTGTGGCAAGATTTCCAGAAGTTTTCTCTGATCAGTTGTCTTTTCCACCAGCTAGGGAGTGTGATCATGCCATAAGAATTAAGGATGGTGTTAATATACCCAATCTGAGGCCTTACAGGTATACTTTTGACCAAAAAAATGTGATAGAAAAGATTATAGATGAAATGCTGCAGTCTGGAATCATCAGGAATAGTAACAGCCCCTACAGTAGTCCTGTACTTTTAGCCAAAAAGAAAGATGGGGGGTGGAGATTTTGTGGGGATTATCGCGCTTTAAATAAGATTACTATTCCTGATAAATTCCCAATCCCTGTGATAGAAGAGTTATTGGATGAGTTGGGAGGGGCCAAAATATTCTCCAAACTAGATCTGAAGTCAGGTTATCATCAGATTCGGATGAAAAGCTGTGACATCCATAAAACTGCCTTTAGAACCCATTCAGGACACTATGAATATATGGTTATGCCTTTTGGCTTAACCAATGCTCCTGCTACTTTTCAAGCCCTTATGAATGAGGTGTTGAGGCCTTATTTGAGAAGATTTGCTTTGGTGTTTTTCGACGACATTCTGATTTATAGCAAGACAGACTCTGATCATGCAGAACATTTGAAGATTGTTTTGGAAGCATTAAGGAAAAATAAATTGGTGGCAAATAAGAAAAAATGTTCTTTTGGAAAAAGACAGTTAAGCTACTTGGGACACATAATTTCTGAGGAAGGGGTAGCTGCAGACCCAAGTAAAATTGAGGCAATGAAGCTGTGGAATATTCCTAAAGACTTGAAGGAGCTGAGGGGTTTT